ACACACACACACAAACACACAAACACACAAACACACAAACACACACACACAAACACAAACACACTCTGTCTGAGATTCTCCTTGTCTCTCATCATGTGTTAAATGGGGGTCTGGGTATTATCACCCCGAGCTCTCAGATCACTTTCAGTGGATTATCCTGATAAATCCTGCTTGGATTCCCTGCTCATGATGCAGAACTGGATACTTGACCTGAGCAGATGGAGAGGACAAGAGGGCAAGAAGTACGAGAGAAGCCCTAGATCTAGAGCCCTGCAGCCAGAAGAGTAGAGTGTGTGTACTGAGAAACATGACACACACAGGTCGCTGTCGTACCTTTCATGGCCTCCGCAGCCTGTATGAGCTCCGTCACTGAACCGGCCACACGTTTGGAGAAGTGTGCCAGCTGCTGTTTAAGGTCATGACTTGGTTTCTGAATGATCTGTGGATAGAGATCACATGACTTCAATCACATGAGAGCATTAAAACATCCTAAATAAGAGCTGGTTAAATCAATCTGATGACATATTCAACTCCTCACAAACAGTTCATTGCTGTTAGACACTCATGCGGTCAACTAGAAGACACTAATCTAGTGATTTCTGAGGTGTGTGTGTGTGTGTGTGTCCTCGGCGTGTCCTCCAGGGTGGTGCTGGTGACAGTGGAACAGGTGCGTGGCATTAGCAGAGCTGTTCGTTTGGGACAGACGGCTAAGTAAAGACTTGGCCATGAGCAGGAATGCTGGGAATGACACGGACAATACCAGAAACGCACACACACACACACACACACACACACACAGACAAACATATGCTGTCTGTCTATATAAACCCTACAGAAGCACAAAAGACAGTCTTTCTGTCTCTCTCTTCAGAGTTCCCATGTTTTGACCAATGCATTTCTCAAACTGTTCCAGTCATTCATGACTTTGTTTTGAGACTGGGGTGCATTCCTCTTTAGATGTCAGGTGACCAGCCTATATTTGGAATGAATAGATGTTCATAAACGATCAATGGAAAACTAATGTGACCAATATGACACTCAACGACAGACTGCGTTTCCATGTTTTATGGGGACATTCCATAGGCGTAATGGTTTTTATACTGTACAAACTGTATGTGCTATTGCCGTACACCAACCCTACCTCTAAACCAACCCCTCACAGGAAACTTTGTGCATTTTTACTTTCTCAAAAACTCATTCTGTATGATTTATAAGCTTGTTTCCTCATAGGGACCTCAAAAATGTCCCCACAAGGTCAAAGTTTACTAGTATTACTATCCTTGTGGGGACATTTGGTCCCCATAACGTGATAAATACCAGGTACACACACACTCACTCACTCACACACTCACACACACAATTCAAAGGAAAATATGTGATCACAGTGAAGTCTAAAATGTGGCAAATGGCAAAATGTTAAATGCTTCTGCAAACCATTCAATGACATTTCATTCAGTTTATCTGAAAAGTAAACTGAAAAGCATTTTGACTAATCAGAATGCATTTAAATGTCACTCTCTTGAAAACGACCATGATAATGAAATCACACCAGTTACTACATTAATAGATTTTACCAGTGGTTTTACTTCAAGACAACAGACATACAGTGCGAATTAATGATTTGCAAAAATATCAATTTATCAGGATTCATGTCAAATTTCTGTTTCCTCAATGAAATGGTTGCAGTGTTTTTTTTTTTAATGCTTTGTACCAAGCTTTGTTGGCTGGTGGATGTTTAGAAGATTTGACAATTAGACAAACTGGCTAATATCTGTAAAATGATCTGTAAAATATGAACTCTATGAAACTTTTTTTTTTTGTCATGAGAGTCTACAGATTATACATGACAAAAGAAAGTCAAAATGGTGCAAAAAAAAAAAAAAGACGGAAATGGAAATAAATAAAGATCTGCAACCCACCAGTTGAGAAGCACTGCAGCACACATTATATTATGTAATTTTTGAGTCATGTTAAGAGGTTGTGCAGTTCAGCACACACATTCACATGCACTATCAGTCACCTTTAACTCACCGGCTATCACAGCGAACCCACACATACACAGAGAAAACAGAAAACACATGAAGGTAAACTTTAAAATGAATTTCTCAGTCCTGCATAGCAACGATCTACACTTTACCTCATTACGATCTCAACATCCCACATTCGACAACTCAAATGTACTTTACAAATAAAACATATATAACGACCTCTGTTTTATCTTATTTTAACTACCCTTTAATACATTTTAAACAAATATTTCAGTCACTGACCCACTGAGTGACAAACATACTGTGAGTTTGTGAAATATGTGACATTTCAGCGTGCCCCTAAAATCACAGGACCAAAGGCTGCAGCAGTTATTTCACACAGCTTTAACCCTAATGACCCGACTAAAGGAGTGTGTGTGTGTGTGTGTGTGACACTCACCACTAGCACGTGCTCCAGCAGACCCAGGTATCCTGTGGCACACTCCGAGCCGAAGCGCAGCGCTCGATCCTGAACGTCTCGCTTCACCTCCGGGTGGAACGCCGCTTGCTGAACAACACAGCAGAAAAAAGATTTCCACTTCAGGTTAACAGAAACACGTATACACTAGAAGTCAAAGTTTGAACACTCATTCTATATGACTACTTTCCATTTTTTAAATTTTAATATTAAACTCACTAAAGTCACTAAATAAATATGGAAATGATTTTTTACATGCTTTTCTAAATTCTATCCCTCCACACTGAACATTGTCTATAACTAATTTCTATTTTTAGCTGACAAGCAACTATTTGTTGAATTTAAGTTGCATGTAGCACAACTCACGTTTAGAAAATAATTAAATCATTTTACTTAAAA